ACGTTACTCGAAGATAAGTTTTCCGTCGCCGACAGCGGGACTCGAACCCGCGACCGCTGGCACAGCAAGTAGGGTCACTACACACTGAGCCAAACGTGTCGTCAATAATAATAATATTTCCTTCATAATTGAAAAATCTATACATATAATAATATTATTATAAAAAGGCAGAATTTGTATGTTTCTTTGTACGCGCCAATCTCAGGAACTATTAATCCGATTTGAAAAAATATTTTTGCTTTAGATAGTCCGTTTATTGAGGAAGGCTTAGGAATATGTCATCATGATACTACTCAAGGGAGCAGAGCAGGACCTAGTCATATAAGTCAACAAATCGGGCATACATCCATACATTATTGTAAAGCTATCTATATTATACACATATATACATAGAGACGAACCCAAGCAAAGTGAGGCTGAGTCACTAGTCATCTTATAAAATTAAAAAAACTTTGTTGTTCCTATTTATATTATTGTTTTAATATCTTAAATTCGGCTACGAGGATTAGGTAAAAATATTTTTCTACTATGAGGACTATCTTTCATTATTAACCTAATTCCGATCTTACTGTTAATTAAGCCCGCTAGCTATCGAACGTAGGAGTCTGTTACAACATCTTTGAAGCGGCCACGATATTCTCGCTTATAAGTTTTAGCTGGCTGCTGGAGCATTCACTAATTATAATTAAGTATCAATTACTGCATGTTTACTAACCTGTCGGTTGGTTCTATTTATAATCAATGAAGGCGACCTTTTTTGATCGACTTCAAAAAGCACGATGTTTTTGTGCGTATGTTACCGTTACGCGGTTTCTTAGTCGACTGTAATGTGATTTTAATGGATCTTTTTTTCTTAATAGGTTATGTTAAAAATACACCTAAGTATAAATATAATTACTTTTAAAATTATGTTGAAGTCGATACATCAATTATATAATATATTTAAATTGCACAATGTACATATAGATAGATGAGCATGTCTAGTTCATTTTTAACGTTTGTACTTCTGTACTAAGAGTATTTGTCCAATTTATTCACACAAACTTACGTACACGCCTTAAATTTTTGTGTTGAAAATTACCTCTAATTTGATTGTTTGCTTCTAATAAACAACGTAAACTTGAGTTTCAAAACCACAAGCAGTATTCATTTTATTTAAATGTATATAAGCAATATTTAATTAAAGCAGATAATAGGTTCTTAATTGGAAACAAGAGCCAGTGTTTTGGTCTTATGATTTCATCAGTTTGAATCATCTTACTCGTCCTATAACTTATTTAGAATTATGTGCACGTAATAATTCTTCGATAAGATTCTTTTTTACACGACTAAGGCGTATTTGAAATAATACTTTAGATTTTTTTTAATTGTAATACATTTGTGGCTACGTTATGGAAAAAATATAATCTATACTTAATATTATAAAGAGGCACCGTTTGTTTGTTTGTTCGAACGCACTAATCTCAGGAACTACTTACTAATTTGATTTGAAAAATTTTTTTTGCATTAGATAGCCCGTTTATTGAGGAAGGCTATAGGCTATATATATCATCATGCTAGTACCCATGGGAGCAGAGCAGTACCTAATCATAAATCTCAATAAATCGGGCAGACTTCCATACATTATTGTAAAACTATATAAATATTGGGATGATCCTTATAAGGCCTAGGGGCTAGACACCTATAAACTTTCTAAGATACTGTTGTCATAACTTATAATTAAGTTGTTAGTGTTTGTTTTGCCTAAAACATTACTTATTAACGACTTTTATATTTTGAGTATAAAAATTGTTTAATAACTTAAACACTTCTTATAGACATAACTATCTATAAGAGGACACTTTCTCCATAAGGATTGGAGCATTAACAAAATTTAAATACTAAATTGTTCTTCAAATTATTTCATGTCTGTAGATGACAACCGGAAATTAATCTATTAATTATTCTCACCAAACATGGTGCATGTACAACGTTCTCTCGGGTAAAGGAGCAGTAACAGACAGACTGACATTTACATTCAGGGTTGTTGATCTGTGGAATAAATTACACTGGTTCTTTGCATCTCGTGATCCAACCTTGTCAATTAATGAATGGTCACCACAAGTTTGTTATCTGATCTGCATATTATGTACTCTTACATTCGTCGAACGGTGTACAAAACTACAATCTCTTCTTAATATAATAAGATGTTGGCGTAAGTATTACATTGAAAATTATTATCTTTTAAGACGTGTGGGTAATAGCTAGGTACTCCTAAAATAAAAAATAAAAAAAATATTTTATGAGTATATAATACTCGTATTACCTACACGCCTTTGTAGTAATTTGTCTAAGTGATAATATTACTAGGGGAGTAAAAATAAATCGATTAATTCTTAAAGTAATTTCTTACAATACTAAATTTAAGTTGTAAATATAAGTACTGACAGCCCTACTGGCACGATCATACATTTTCTTTCCAATCACGCTTGTCCCTCTGAGACACATTGTAAACAAAATGAATTTAAAATGCTTGAATCACGCCTTCGTCATTTACATCCGATATTTGCATGTTAATAAATATTAGATTTTATTTGCATTCTTTGTGCCATAAAATTTGCTTTACGACCGTACTTGTACTGAAAATAATTTGATAAAATATGAATGTAACAGAGAAAATTTCCAGACAAGTTAACTTTATGGTTTATGAATAAGAGTTGTTCTTATTAAAAAAAAATTAAATGAATACATATTTATATGATAAGCATTACACATGAAAAACTTTTGTAACTAAAAATGCTATTAACTCTAATATTATAAGAATTTACTACTGAAAGTTAACATTACTAATTAACGAATTCATGAAAAATAACTATGTACCTAGCTAAAAAATAAGAGAACACAAAGGATTTTTAATGATAATGTATGACGTTACAATTTTATAAAAAGGCGCAAAGTAAGGATAAACTTAACATATTGTTATTTACATATATACTTATTAAATTAATCAAATATTTTATTATGGCCAGAATTTATTCAGGTTAACATATCTTGTTATAATTTAATTTAAAAAAAGTTCTTTTTTTTTCTTCAAAGTTATATTTCTGTTACGTGCTAAGCTAAACAGGTTACGTCAAGATAACAGCAGTTTTTTATTATTTAACAAATTGTTATTGCATTTTAAGCGTTTATGCTAATAACGATTTACATACAAAGGTGTGACAGGCGATGTTAGCCATAATATTACGTTTTCCCGGAAACGCATGACATCACTCATTGTGGGAACTTCTGAGGACTCGAGTTTGAGTTTTGGGTCTACAGCCATGCACTTATGACTCCTGCTTTTTAAGTAGCCATATAGTGCGAGAGCTTTGTTGCAGGAAAACTATAATAAAATTTAAATAACTATGCAGTTATTAGTCGTGATGCCATTCTACAATTGTAGAAGTATAACAATTTAAAAAATATATGGGACTGACATATCATGATTCTATGCCATAAATTTGTCATTTCAATAAAAATTTTAAAATTCAATTTCTACTGTGAGCACTGACTTGTGTCTACAACTTTAATATCTACTAATGACTTATCCTCGCTTCACTTGGGTGCATCCTTGGGTACGCGGATTACAATTACAATTTTGATAGGTAACAATTTTTTTGTGCGGAGCCCTGATTTTTTTCCAAAATAAAAAAATAAACATTAGCTATCTGCCAGTGAAAGTCCTGTCAAAGGCGGTGCAGCCGTTTCGGAGATTAGCTGGAACAGACAGACAAAAATTTTAAATTTATTTTTTCTCATTAGTACCTACCGTATATACTTTCATGCGCATTTAGTAAAAGCTGTTATTTTGATATTACAAACAGATACTTCAATTTTATTTATCTGTATAGATAATGACTAGTTTCTACAGAGAACAAGCTCTTTAAAGTTATAAAATATTCCCTAAACTCGTTTTTGTATAAATAGAACAACAGACTTAATTTTATTTTATAACAACAGTTGAGTAAGTTCTATGTCTATTATATCATAAAACAAGTTGCCTGTAAGTTAACCGTGACACAGAAACTGAGTCGAAGTCACCAAATTTGGTAAACAGCTGTTCAAATGTTGCATTAATTATCACGTTTCGTCATATATTTTTCTTGAAAATTGGATTTTAGAATTAAAATGTTGACGATACTACAAGCCTTCATCATTTAATTAAAAATATATAGAAATATAGGTATTGTTTCATTTGTGAAATTTATTTATTTGTCAAAATATTTTAAGGATTTTTAATGGCCTCTAATAAGAAGGTGATTAAATAGTTACAGAATATATGTTACTGTGGCGGAGAAAAAAAATCTACAAATCCTCGTCTTTACAAATCTTCTTAGGGTATATAATTAATAATTATAGAATATACATAAATATACGATAAATTAAATTTTATAAACAAATTATGTACCTACCTATATAAAAATATATTTTATACTTGCATGATATGGTAAATATGTAATAGTAATAGCAACTATTTTACAAGAAAAAGTTATTCCAACAAATGACTTTCTTATGCTTTCTCAAAATAAAAAGCACACTACTCGTATCCGGACTCCGGCGCCAGTTAATACATGTCGGTCGTACGCGTGGGTAGAAGTACTGCAACTCTCAGAACTAGACAACTTGCATACAAAGAGCCTTAAAAGTGGAGTAAATTTCATCTAGGTAAAACTTTGCGTGACATTTACGAAGTAATCTGGCCAACTGGCATGCCTTAAAGCTACAAAATAAAGATTTGAATTAAATTAGATAAATTGAATTTTGTTTATTTTTTATAGTGTAACTCATAGATGTTATGTTATGTTTAAGGACAGCTTAGTTCTTTTCTATACTTCGTCAATCAAAAAACATTTATTTATTATAATTATAATAATTTACTTACCTGCTTTTTTTCAAAATATATATATATAGGTTTTAAAAAAATGTATGATACCTCCATTATTCATTTTTTTTTTTACAGGTAAAACACCTCAACCATCATGGCCACTAAATCATACAGCAAACATAAAGAATACAAGGAGTATTCCAGTAGCAGAGGCGTCGTTCCCTACACAGACGAACAATTCGGTATGATTTTACTAATCTACCCTGCAATAATCTTTAAATTTACTGAATATTTCTACAAATTATTATACGTAGTACCTGCGTGACTGACGTCGATCGATGTTTTTTTTTGTAAAACGTGTTAATAAATTAACATACATATTAATATACAAGTATTGCTCATTTAATATTATAAGATAAAAATTAGATAATACCAGAAAAACTATAATGTGCAGATAATTGGTGTGGTAGAAGTTTTGTAAAGTATTTTAAATTAGCACATTAATACGTTTTAGCAAATTGTTATATTAAATATATAAATTAAAGTAGCTACTGGATTTAATTGTCATTAAAACAAGTAGAGTCAAGTATTGTAAATTTTATACGATACCTAAATAATCACTTCTAAAAATCAACGCAGATATTGCGTAACATACAATTAAATTGAGTACCTCATTTTGAAATTGCTCAATTATTTAAATAATATAATATGTAATATTTTTAACAGATATGATAAAATCTGACCTAATACCGAAAGGCAGCAAGCTAGACTCATTGGGAAGAAGCGGGGGCACCCGGGAGTATCACTATGAGTACAAAGAGGAGAAGCTCCCTTCAGGAAAATATGACAGAAAGGACTTGCACACTGTTGAGGTAAGCCGAGTGTACATGAATATTATTTTTAGTCATTCCTTTGCTAAGTTCGGAAATATTTGTATATTTCGCGTATTACAAACGTTCATATCCATGATCTCGATACCCATAACTACTGCTAGTTGTTTAATTGCTAAATTGCAAATTGAATGTTAATATCTTAACGTTATAGAGTTGCAGCTAATAGAGAAATATGTAGGTAATCCTTGGACATATACAAGGAAGTCATGGTTTGTCTCTACATAAGCGCTAGTTTGTTGATCTGGAGAATTACTGAACGAATTTGAATGTGGTTTCTGCTTTTATGATCGCTATTTATCCAGAAATCTTGGTTCTCAAAAGTTTTGGTATAATAAAATTTGTCCTAGCACATATAGAAGTTGAGTACTGATGTTATTGGTGAGCCATCTCTATTGCTTAGTTGTTTTATCGACGCTTTTTACTTAATTTTGGTTGTAAATAAATGAAATCAGAGTAAAAAGTCCGCAATTCCAAATATCTAAGTCTTATATTTTAACAGATTTATTTAGTTGCTTTTCTGATGATCCCATAAATATTATAAATGCGAAAGTTTGGATGGATGGATGTTTGACACTCAATCACGCCGGAACGGCTAAACGGATCTGGTGAAATTTGACACAGAGATAAATTATAGTCTGGAATAGCACATAGGTTACTTTGTATCGCGTAAAAATGTACTGTTCCCGTGGGATAGAAAAAAAACCTCATTTTTTTTCACTAGAGTCGGACCCGGGCGAAGCGACGGTGATTTGTTAGTAAAATATATTGATATTTCTAAGTAACGTTTGATGGCAATTTGAAATACCAAATATTATTCTTTAAAAATAAATTATTTCGCTATCGCAAATACTTAAATTATGATAATATATTATTTGGTTATACTGTAGCTTAGTACAAAAATAAATTCCAATATGGTCACTAGTAGTCTTATAATTAACTTTGAACAGGAATTCACAATCCCTCCAAAGAGTGTACCAAAAGCGGCTGAATCCAGCTCGTATTACTACGAACGCGAGGAGAGGGAGCTGCCCGCGATCTCAACCGGCACAAGGACTTACAACTATGAAAGCTCGCCTACACCTGGTGAGCTTTTTGTTTTGCTTTGCCTACATTATGCTAATGCTTTTATGTTTTTATATTGAAATCTTTATATAAAATAAGTTTGAAACCTACAATATGTGCCTTTTACGCTATTTGAACTTATAGTACAGAGAGAACTGAATACTGCATATTTTTCAAATTATATATATATATATATATATATATATATATATATATATATATATATATATATTATTTCTAGGCTTTTGAATTTTGAAACATATGCAAGATATTTTTATCGGAATAGATAAAAAAAGGAATCATTACAAGTTTCAGTTATAGATATTTTATTGTTCTTAATATTTTTATGGGTACGATTTCCTATCATATGGCCAGTGTGGGGGACTATAGCCTGACCGACCCCCTCGCATTGAGGATAACCCTGTGTTCAGAATTGTAAAGTATTTATATAGATTCGATTATAACTTATTAAGTAAAAAGTCTTTTGATTTTTTAAAGATATTAAAAACCAAACCTTTAAAAACCTACATAATGTTATATTACTAATATTTAATATTCATTGATAATTTTTTTGTTTCTTTACAGCATATTCTAAAGTAAAAAGCTCGAAAGTAACGAAGGAAATGACTCAAAATGTAGATGAACTCGACTCTCTTCTCGACGACCTACAGAAGGACCAAGAACGACAACTGTACAAGAGTACGTAAATGGATAAAATTGTTTATGTTTGAATACATAATAGCACTATATACGTATGTAGGTAGTATTTTATCATAGTGTAGCTTTGTGAGTCAGGTTGCGGCTTCGATTTCCAGACAATGTGATTTTTATATTGATTAAATAAGGTCTTCCTAGCCTTAGAAATAAATATTATATAAATTTTTAAACTGTTAAAATGCATAACTATAGATAGCGTCAAGGTCCATTTCTTTTGTGAAATGTTTGTATCTTGTATAGAAACCGGCCTTTTGAAGAAAAGAGAATGAGTTACTATAAAAGTTTTATTTAGTCCGGAATATATGTATTTCTGTTCATATATAAAAATTATCTTATTTCAGGTGGCTACGCTTCTGATACAGCTGAAAGCACATCCTTTGACTATAGGAGAGGGTAAGTTATATTTTCAAATAAGCAAAATTCATATGGGAAGCGGCCATTCCCAACACAAGTATCTTGGGATTACTTACTGGGAAGACTCGTACATACTTATTGCAAAGGATATTGAAATAAAAATATCTGTATTTTTTCAAGCATAGAGATGCGCATGAAAAGTGCAAAATCACTTTTAAAGCTAAATAATTGTTTTAGAAATATTTTCTATTACACAAAATCATCCTAAATTGGAGTTCTAGACGAAATATTATACGATCTATTCTGCAACGATTGTTGACATCCATGCCTAAATCTTTCGAATAGTCAAAAAACACTGAAAACAAAACCATCATCACAATTTACCATCAATCTTCACAACACAATAGCTATTAAAAACTAATTAAATAAACCATTCCAGTACCCCAGCGAAGGCGCCATCCAGCGGGTACTCCACCCTGAAGCACGAGGAGAGGCTGGAGCGCTCGTCGTGGGACGCGCCCGCCGCGCCGCCCGCGCCGGCCGCCGCGCGCGCCGAGCTGCGCCAGGAGGTGTACCGGGAAGAGAAGACTGGTAGGCATCCATACTATGTCGCAACTAGCCTTTTAGGGCCGCTCCTCACTATAGTGCCGATCAAGGGTGCGACATCGGTCTGGCAATGAGTGCATTTACACTATCAGTAAGACACATTGAGAAATCAGACGCAACATTGAAAGTGGTTGTAACAATGCCAACTTCCTAATTCTGCGCTGTTATATAGTCAAACTTTTGGGTTTCTTAAGTTCCGAAGCCGTACGTGGTAGCCATTGCTAAGGCAATCAAAAATATACTAATCCTCGCCCCGAGGTAGAAAATCGACCAAAATTCATAAATTTTAATAGTGAAAAATCCCTATACAAGAAAAACTCAATACTCAAGCGAGTCATTTTATTTTACTAGCGACAAACCCTCGCTTCGCTCGGGTGCATCCCTAGGTATCTTTTAATTTTTTGAGTGAAACCCTAATTCTTTTTCTAAAAATAAAAGTAGCCGAAGTTACTTCTTATAACATCAACTATCAGAATGTGCAAGTCCCGTCAAAATCATTCCAACCGTTTCGCAGATCAGTCGGTACAAACAGACAGAATTTCTTTTATAATTTGCATTTAGAAAAAGTTTTCATTCGACATTACAAACAGATACCAATTTTATTTATCTATATAGTTAATAATGGCATGTTAATGAAATCCTCAGAGTCGCGCGTGGTCCCCGCTGCGGTCCCGGCGCCGGCCGCACCCGCCTGCACGCACTGCCTCCACGCGCCCTCTACTGGCACTGTATGTATATTATATACCTATATGTTATTTAGTTATATTAATTTTTATGAGAGTATAATTAAAATAGGTAATACTACATTATAGGTAATATAAATTTAGTTCTTGGTTTTCATCGCTTATATTTTTTTTATATAAAAAAAAATATATTAAAAAATTATGTGCAGTGAATCATTAATTTTTACCTTAAATGTTACACGTTTAAATAGTTGTTAAAAGTGATTGTTTTATTCTTTAATCATTAATAACCGATTACAATTGATTGTAATTACAGTTGTATAATAAACGTATACAACCATAATTAGTAATTACTTTAAAAAGGGTGCTTTTAAAGTCAGTCATATAACAAAAAAAAAGTGTTGCAAAATAATGTCCTAAAAAATTAAACATACCAAAAACTAATAATGAATGTCCAATCAATCCATCCAAAAAACATAAAAAAAGACAAACTAAACAATGCCCGCCACCCCGCAGCTGCCCCGCGCCGGCACGCCCATGAACAAGGTGACGACCACGGTGAAGACCTACACCTACGAGGTGCCCGCCGGCCTCGACCCTGCCGCGCTGCCGCTGCCCTGCGATCACGTCGTTGAGTTAGTATCATTACTTAAATAATCATAAATATTTCATATATATATGTACTTATTCAGCCATTTTTAACGCCCCACTGCTGGACACGGACCTCAGGATATCAATACGACGGGGATCAAGCCATAGTCCTATCGCTGGTCAAATGCGGGCGGACTAAGCTTGTCTTTCGAGGACTTACTAGGTTCTCTCAGACATGCAGGTTTCCTCACGCTGTTTTCATTAACCGTTTGCACATGAAAATATCAGAGATGCGAGACCCGGGATTTGAACCCACTTCTCTCGATTTTCCAAGCGGGCGCGTTGCCACTGAGTTCCCACTGTCACTAATTTGTGATAACTTTATTAAAAAATAAATAATATTTTTTTAAACTTCCTTATCAAGCATTATACTCGGCACACTTGGTGAATGAGAGTTAGACGGAAATAGTGTAATATTTCGACCGTCACGACACTTTTTATTATTTACTTAAGAGCACCCCTTGTGATGTCATCTCAAGTATCAAGCGAGCATGAATGTTAATGAGTGTATATTGTAAGAAATTCGTGTGCACTCTGTGCAGGCTTTTCTTCGATGAGCAACATGTACATGTACATTGCTTGATGTTAATGAAACCTAGTACTCGTGACAATTATTTTATTTATTATTATATACTTAGTTTAGATATTACTAAAACTATATTTCCAACCCTCTTAGCACGAGCACCACTACCACGTGCCAGCACTGCGCGCACTGCGCCTCGCACCGCGACTACCGCCTCAACTACACTACCGACGGTATGTTACTGTTTGATATATATATATTATGCGTGTTATGTTATAATCTATGTATATAAAAGCGATTGATTAATAATGAAATCTCAGAAAATACAAATGTTATGTACGAACTTTAAATACACCTGGTAGATTCCTCAGAGAGTAGGTATATCCTAAGAAAAGCTTTTTGGAAATGTAACCACTAAAAGTGTAAAAAAAGGTTGGAATTTTGTATGAAAATCCGATATTTTTAAAGTTACAGTGACCAAAATTATAAATATTTTTTTTTTATTAAAAGTTTTGACTTTATTCATACATAGTTTAAAGGCAGTTACTTCCCCTGGGAAAAAATAAGGAATTATAAGAAACTTAAAAGCGGAGCAATTGTACGTATTTTTTATATAAAAATGAAAAATATATATTTCTTATTTCCTTATATTTTTTGAATTTTAAGAATGTTTTTTTTTTACATTATTAATTATTATAACAAAAAACCTTTCAAAGCATTTTTTAACGGAAATTCTCATTTACATCCATCTTTCTATTATAGAGCACACAACAAGCGAGCGCATCGTGTACCCACAACCCGCCAACACTACGCACGTGCTCCAAGGCCCCCACACTCCCCACGCCCCCCACGCGCCGCACACTCCCCACGCTCCCCTCACCCCCCACGCTGCCCACGCTCCCCACGCTCCTCACGAGCCGCAGAATGGACATGGCCCATACGTAAGTTATATTTTTAATTTTAGGTTTCCACTTTTTCAGGCCCTTCAGGTATCAAAGTCTTGAAATTAATATTGTTAATTCAAATTGTTTATTAAAAAATATTTTTTATATCAATAAATTATATCTGTGGCTTAAAATTAAAGGATTGTGATGTTTTTAACTTATCTGTATAAATTCAAAGATGGATATAAAAACGTCAAAGTCATCTCATGTCATTATTTATAAAATCCAAAAATGTAATTCCAGGGTCCATCATCAACATACAAGTATAGCGAGACGACATACTCCGCGCAGAACACGCACAACGCGCACAACACGCACCTGTACCCCGCGCCCGCGCCCTCCCCGCTGGCGCTGTCGCCCGCCAACGCGCCCGCGCCCTTCCCGCGCCCGCACACGCCCGCCGGCGGCACGCAGCAGCCGCCCAAGAGGCTGGACGACTTGCTAGCCGATTTTCCTGAAGCGGTATGTTCTTTATTCTAATTAGTAGTTCTACATTTTTATTAATAAACCAGCGACTCAGATTTTCTTCGGGTTTGATCTATCCTACGAGATGCGTTTATTTTTCGGGATAAAAAGTAACCTATGTGCTATTCCAGACAAATATATATATATATATATATATATATATATATATATATATATATATTTTTATAAAACTTATGACCAATTTTTTGGCAGTTTTTTTAGACAAATCAAAATAGGCCGAAAGTTGTTCAATTTCCAATGCACAGCGAAAGAAACTGACTAGTACGTGAATGTACATATAATATTTATATCATTAATAATTATAAGTTTAAATATAGTGCCAACGCGAATAATTGCAATATTAATTTTTGTAAAGACTAAACGGGTGAAGTCCGTTAATAAATAAACCTTGAGAAAAATAAATTAAATTTTTGAAAATGAATTGATGAAATAAAATTCATACCAATTTTCACCAAATCCTACAACACAAACATGAATCTCATTTCATTTATTTTATATGATTATATATGATTTAATAAACGTATTCTAAAAAATAATAAAAAAATCACTGCAGCGGTTCCCAACACAACCTGATGGTGTGACCCGGCGGAAGGTCGAGGTCATTCACTCGCAGAGCGCGCACGACAAGGAGAAGGACAGGACAGACGGCACGTTGAAGCACACACCGCCTGTCAGCAGCAGCAAGAACGTCGCCGGACCCGCGGTGTACTATCCCCCGGGACACGTGCCATTTGCGAAGAAGGATAATCCTGTTGGAGGTGGTGGATATCAATCTGCGGTGAGTTGTTTAATTAAGTTATCGTGAATGCGGCCCTTGTTTGGATGGGTGGCCGTTTTATTTTTTTTATATAATAAAAAAATGCAAGTCCTAACACAATAAAATTTTTAAAACCAGTCAAATACAAATAAATATAAAAAAATATAAATATAAATGAATAAAACAATAATGAAATATCCGCAGGCGATGGTACAGGGCGGCGGCGCGTACGCGTCCGGGCGCGGCATGTATGAGTACGAGTCGGGCGCGCGCAGCCGGGAGAAACACACCGAGAAGAAAACCGCCGTTCCCATATGCTTGCCACTCTGCTGTGCTATGCCTTGTGTTATCATGTAAATTGCACTAACACAGTATTAAAATCCATACAGACAATCGCATTAAATTTTCAAATTCTAAAGTTCAAAAATACATCATATATATCATTTGTCATGGTTTCAAAGTTATAGCGCCAATCCTAAAGCTGTCTCCCGAGCATCGATCAAAAAAGTACTAGATACACAATTCCATGTAAAAGATCTCTTAAAACTATCACCAATTAAGGTAATTATTCAAGTTGAAATAAATATACAACAATGTAAATTGAATTTTTAATAAAAAAATAAATAAAAACGCGCTCAAATGTTTAAATAAGCGCTCATTCGGTGAGGTCATTTTTTGTCGCTAATTGTACAAATATCTAATACCTTTTTCGATTGACGCTCGAAAATAATGTATGACACTCGGGAGCGTCTCGCCCCGCACCGCGTGGATGCCTTGTCTAGATGCCTTCGTTAGACGACTGTATGGATTAGTAGACTGTGGTATTGTTAATATCATATTATTTTCATTTAAGTGCTCACTAAACAAAGTATGGAATACCAAAATATTTGACCGTTTTATGTACTCTGTTCTTTTTATAACTCAACTTGGAAAGTGGTGGAGCATTTAAAATTAGCTAAATATTTTGTCAAACTTTAGTGGGCACTCTACTTTAATGGTAAAATTTTAAAAAGTTTTTTATATACACACACACAGATGTGTCCAATTTTTTTTATATCTGTAACTTTTTCTCTTTGTGGGAACCCTTAGACCTATTTACACCAATGTAATGTGAATACAAGATTGTTCACGAAAATCTATCTAATCGATTAAGCAAGCAACTATTCATTTTCTCTTTTTTGATAAGATATTTTCGTTAGTAGTATAAACTAATACTTTTTTAAAACAATAATTTTACTTATTTATAGCACTATCATAATTTAAACTAGATAATGATTTAGAAAAAAAAAACTAATTAAAATGCATAATTATCACATTACTTGTAAGACTATATCATTTATATTAAAGTAACTATGTAATACTTAAACATAAAAAAAAACTTGAGTTTGACCCTATTGCCTTTTTATAGGATTTACAAACGTATTAACTCTATGGGTTTCCACAGAACTATCTTAAAGAATCTCGTTAAGTATAATAAATGTAATTAAATTTAGTCTTTTGTAAAATGACTTATTATTTAGTTTAAACACTAAGGTTTTTGCTGTCTAAAGAAGTCTATATAAAAAATATATTTTGTATTTTCTATGTAATAATTTAAAAAAATACATTTTTGTTACTATTTACCAAGAACTTAAGCTAATACTATTTGTTGTATGAGCTTCAAAATATAATAAGTGAGGCATTTTGAATGAAAAAAGTGTGTTTAATCTAAGTTTTAATTAAAATTAAGATTTTATGTACAAGGAATATTGTAAAAGAATTTTCTTACTTTTCGGTTGTAACATTTAATAATAATTCAGTAAATTGCTAAATCAAAGAAAAACTAAAACACCACAATTTATTTTTATATCTTAATATTAATACTAAATTATGTAAAATGGGAAAATATACGTGTATTAAAAAACAGTCTCTCTGATCTGATGTATTGTGAATCATTCATTTTTTTAAATAATAAGTAAGCTAGCGCACAGCGCGCGTCCTTTAACCATCATGTGCCATTAATAAGTGCAAGTGCCTTGTGTCGTCACGTTACGTGTAAATTATATTTTTATGAATAATAAATTTTATTAACAAATCTAGTTTTTATTTTTCTATCCTTACCTTGAAATCATCAGGAACAAAGAAAAATATAACAGATAAAATTGATATCCAATAAGGGAGTGCCTATTATGATTTTCAAAATTACTCTTCGCACAGATCACAATACTACACTAGTCAGATGCCTCATCCCATACAAAGAAATTTGACAGCGCTAATTCGGGCTATTCTAGAGCAATTTTAGTTTGATTAAATAGATAGTAGATGTCGTTGATTCACAATAGTTAAACTGTTTTATTTTAAAATATGTGCTAACTAGCGAATGGTAACTATTGTAAAATTCATTCTGCATTCGAATAAAAAAATTCTGTGATTTTAACAATTTTTATCCATGATAAACAATTCATATAAGTCAAAGGGTCATCTGTGAATATAAACTACAAACCTATCATCTGATTGATGATATTTCAATAATCAGTAAAATTAGCAAATTTGATTTACACAATTGCATTATTTCTTTTCCCTTCACTTAGAATATTTTTTAAAACGATAATATACCTCTTCGGAATTTTTTTTTATGTTTTGTTAATTTAACACAACTTTAATAACAAATAGATACAAAAACTTTATCTATTGACATTTTCTTAACTAATCATTCTTTGTCTCATCACGATGAGACCCAATGCTCTAAGTAAAGGAAAATGTGCTCTGAGTAAAGACAAAATACTCTTGTGAGATTATTAAAAAATCAGACATCTGGAAATGGTTTGTAGTGTACATTTACAGATGGCGCTGCAAATTTTTTGAGCTATTTACGGATTTACCACATTTATAAAATGTTAGTGACTGAATTTTGTTTACTCGCCAGTTGTCGATATTTACGCTGTCTATTATCTGTCCAGGAAGAATAAAATAGAGAAAGGTATGTTGGTCCAATTACTTCAGGCTTTTTGTTTGTTTATTGTATTAGACGACAGCTTCGTTTATGTATGTAACGTATTTTAAGTTGATTACCAAATAGCTGATTTATCAATAAAATTGATAATTTGCTTACTTAATTCATTGTTCTTTACCAAAAGTACATATTTTCAGAAACCATAAATATATTTCTTAAATAAACATAAATACAATAACGCCTATCTACATTTAATTAAAATAATTTTGCATATTTGTGATTTGTGAAGACCCCGTCTGAAAGTAAGCGACGCAAGAGTGTGTCACATGGGAAAATTATTGACATTGTTATTCTCGAGATAACTTGAACGAATTTAAAAATAAGGCTTTATCGAGTTCAATGCTTTTATTAATAGATAGTTATTTGATTTCATAAGTCACTAATTGCAGTTCAAAATTAATCCCTAAAAAGGTGTTGAGTGCTAGCCACATAGAAATTTTGAAATACGGTGTTTAAAATTGACCTAATAAATAGATTGCTTGCCTTAAAAATTGATTTACGTAGAGGATCTAACTTTTCTGCGATAAAAGTCGTGCGATATTTTCCCATAATTATCCATTAAAAGGTTATGTATTTCCATAGATTAATTCTTTTAGTTTAGATGCTGTCTCCATGATTGTATCCTTTACAAAGATTTTAAGACTTAATTCGAGCTATATTTGTTTTTATATAGATGGCGTTGATCGGTTGATAAGTATGGCGCTGATAAATTAGAAAATTTATTTAGATATATTTTAATACGTAGGCATTCACTAAAATATGTGAAATACATACATATATCACTTAGTATTATATAAATTAAATTTTAGTGTATTATTAACCGTGGTAATAACATCAATAACTAACAAAATATTAACAGTGTCATCTGTATGTATACAGCATAAACTTACTAGCTAATTTCATTATTATTTTAAGAGATATACGAGTAAGCTCATGATTGTACTATATTAAGGTTACAAAAATTTGATATAAAATTGCATGTTTTTAGCATCCGTAGCACCTAGATTATTAATAAAATCAAAAATATTCTGATTATAATTATTGGGAAATCTTTTTGGTCATCGGGATAAATAAAAGGTTAAAATCGTAATAAAAACACATATATTTTGCTTTTATATTTTACCAAAATTTTGGATCAAGTCCAACAAGGCAGTCTCCGGGTTACATCGCCCCTATACAAGCTCCACGCCCGGACTCACCCGCGCTTTACAAGTAAGGCCCAGTTACTCGCCTCAGTTTAGTGGATCTGCTACATTACTACTATAGAAATATTGAATATAAAAATAAATGGATGGTACAGAGAGCTCTCGACAACATTCTCAGCGGAGGCCGGAGCAAGTTCTCAAACACGCGAAACGTCCGGCGTTTGCGTACAATCGAATATCTCGTTTAATTGGCGTATTTAAGAAGTTGCTTGCTTGGACTATATTTAAATTTGTGTTATAAAGTCGAATATATGTACAAAAACTAACAATTTCCTAATAATTTTGGTCTTTAATGAATTTTAATTAAAACAAAAATAATATATAACAATATGTGGGCCATTAGGAACACATAAAAATAGCCGCATCAATTGAGCCAAGTACATATTAACAAAGATCGAAGGCCTATAACTCTGACATCTCACCAGTAAATATATATTTAATGTTTTAATTTGACAATTTGATATATTTTGTCACTCATCACTCATATTTGGTATGTTAGATAGTAATTTAGTTATACTATATACATCTAAGGTAGTTTCTTATTGTGGAAAACAAAATCCATTCAATGACTTCAGAGTTTCCAGTACAATAAACATTTGTGTAGTGAAATTATATATTCTACATATTTGGCAGTTGGATTTTGTATTTCAAAACAACATTAATATTTACAAGGTTCCAATACCCTTCATAATTAAAATAAGCAAATTTAGTCTTACAAAGGTTTTGTAACAAAATTATTATACATTCTTTTTACACTACAGCAAAATGATTGGTCCTCAAGTATGATAACTTTGGTTCGTAAAAAATATTTTAAATTATAACATCTCATATGTTTTGGATCATCTATGGTTCGATTGGGGATTGAAAAATTTGTATTAACTAAAAACATTTTAAAAGAGTTCAAAACTCGTAATATGTAACAATATGTACAGTTGATTATGTGCATATTTATATAAGAAACTTAAATTATAGCAATTACTAGCGGCTCACCCTCGCTTCGCTCGGGTTCGTCGCTAGGTACGTTTTAAATAGATATAAAAAGAAAAAATCTTTCTTTCTCACATTTTAATTATATGTTTTAATACTTACCTATTCCGGACTAAGAGAAATCCAAAAATTAAAATATCATAAAAATCTGAACGCGGTCGAACGGGATAAAAAGTATCCTATGTCCTTCTCCTGGCTCTAAACTACCTCCCTGCCAATTTTCAGCTAAATCGGTTCAGCCGTTCTTGAGTTATAAGCGAAGTAACTAACACGACTTTCTTTTATATATATAGATTATACAAAGGCTATCTGCAAATCTGCAATCTATTTTAAAAAGTTAACATAAACGTTAGAAACATGACAATAAATTAACATACGCTATGTGATTCTAACTCCTAAATACAAAGCACAATCATAGAATATCACTTCAACATGTATATTTGTAACAAAATTTTGGACAATTAAAAAAACTTTTTCTTCGAAAACCGATTAACATTTTTGGTACTTTAGTATTTTTTATTTATAACACTGAGTTCTGGCACAAATCATCTGGCACATCGGAACAGTCAGACCCACTAAGCCGGGCGCCCCGCCCTCTGGCGCCACTCAACAAAACGAAACAAACCACAAACAACATCGCGGCGCGGGCGTCTCGGGCGACTTCATTTTAAAAAATCACTCATTATGTATTGAAAATAATTATTTCTCCAATATGACCGCTCGCGGCGGCGCGATCTAATTCGTATCTGATATTTGACTCGATATAGCAATATATATGTATAATATACAATTGGAACTCCTATTATTATTAATTACCTAATTCTTTATAAATCACAATCGGTAACAAGATAACTCAATACGAAACAGTCTAGAGATTTACTCGGAGTCCCGCCGGGGCGGCGCTAATATCACAACGCGGGAACGAGTCACACAGTGGGCCGTGGGGAGCGTCCGTCCGTCTCGCTCGCGCGGCACTTAACCTAACATAAGGGCACTTGGGACAGCGGGCGCGGCGCGCGGGGCGCGGTCAGTCCAGCACGACGTAGGGCAGCGCCACGAGGTCGCCGAGGCGCGCGCACTCGTGCCACTCGGCGAAGTGCGAGGGGCGCGCGGGGCGGCCGAGCTCGTCGCGCGCCGTGTCCGCCGCCGCCGCTACCAGCGCGTCCCGCAGCGCGGCCGCCGCGTCGTCCCGCTCGCACGCGCCGTCCCGCTCGCACACGCGCGGCAGCGTGACCACGGGCGCGCTCGCACTGTCCGCGTACGAGTAGGGCACGCGGCGCAGCGCGGCGGCGCACAGCTCGCACAGCGCGCGCCCGCCATCCACGTCCACTTCCGCTTTCGTCCGCTCCACGGTGCGGTGCTCGGGCGACGCCGCCACGAACTCCTTCTCCACGTCCGCGCACGCGCGCGGCTCCCCGAACTGCGTCACGTCCTCCGCGGACAGGATCGGCGCCTTGAGCCTCTCGCTCGGCTCCAAGTTCGGCAGACTAACCATCTCCGCCTCCACTTTCGGCCTCTCGTATTCCACTTTTACTTTCACTTTCGCTTCGGGTGCCTCCTCCATGGTGTCGTCGGCTGAGTCTATCGACTTGGCGTCCGGGTCGCTCTTGATGTCTGCGCTTAGATCATCCAATGGCGGATCCGCCACTTCCGTCGGGTCCGGGAGTGGGTAGGGTCGCAGGGGCGGAGGGGAAGGCGGGGGTGGTGGTGGGGGCGGCGAGGGGGCAAACTCGGTCCAAGGTATGTGAGAGCAGATTGGGATTTGGGAGAGGTTCTTGACGCAGTAGTCGTCTGCGTAATCAGAGTACTTGTAAAGGGGCACAACGCTGGAGAAGAGATCAGGCTGGTCAGGACGCGTGGGGGGGCGGACGGCAAAGCGGTGAGGCTCCACGGGGGCGCGGGTACCGTTGATGCCCGGTAGGAAAGCGTTGTGTAGGGCTCGCACGTGCAAAGGGAGTAGGGCTCCTCGGACGGCCGCCGGACAGTCCTCACTGCCCTGGTCCTCCTCTCCCTGCACCTCCCCGCAGGTACACTCCACCCACTCGCGCTCCTCCTCGAGAGGGGGCAGCACGACTGGTTCCGGCTTCGGCTCGGGTTCTGGCTCCGGCTTCATTTGTTTGGGCTCGCTGCTGCCATTCCGTAACGGCGAATCCACTGTTATCGGAGCTGAAGAAATGTATTATATATTATAGTTGAACTTCAAACATCTCTATTTATCCATTATTATACTAGCTTAATATTAAAAAAAAATACTTTACTACTTACAGCAAAATAGAGCTAGTAAATGGGTATTTATATTTTATGCAATATTTTTATGGGAAATATTTTCTCCTAGTTTCAGTACACGCTAGCCACAAGACTAACGAGACAGTTTATTACAATTAATAATAATTGACCGCGCGAGCGAAGAGTTTCTGCTTCAAGTATGGTAAAATTTGCTTTCCAGTGTCAGTTTGTTGGTACTTCTCTACAGGTCGTATTTTACAACCGATCTGGACGAAACTTGGTATACAGGTTTATCGAATTTATAGATTTTTCTTGTCGTCGGACAATTTTGATTGGATTGGATTTGGCGTACTTTCTTGAAAAAGGCTCTCTGCCTTATGAGACCTGATTTCGATGAATCTTATTATTTGAAAGGAAGTAACTACACTTAATGTTGTAATATCCTCACAATCTGCATTTCTGCTCCCGAGGTCTACTGTTCGCAGAAATATTAAATAAACAAGTAAGACACTCACGGTCGGGCTCTATAAGCATGACGTCGGGCGAGTGCGGCGAGCCCGGCGAGTGCGGCGACGCGGGCCGCGACCGCGCGCCGCGCAACTGGATCTGCTCCAATAGCTCTTTTGTTGTTTTCACCTGGAATTCCAATTAAGTACTTATTATTAATATTTTGAGAACCAATGGAATAAAACTTCATTACAATCGACTACATAAAAGCACAGCCTAATTTTGACATCAGTCAAAAAATAAAGATACATATAATATATATATAATAACCTTTTTAGCCCCAGCAGGAGGCAGCCTATTGACCAGCGCAGCGTACGGGTCGGTGGCATCACGTCGCCAGCCATTGCGGCGCGCGCCTGAACCGTTGCGGGCCCCCCACGCGTGCGCCCCGGACCCCACCGGAACCCCCGCGCCGAGGCCCCCACCCCCAGGCCCCCCGCCGCCCAGGGGCGCCTGCGCGGGGAGTGCGGGGTGCGCAATGGTGGTGCCGCCTTCAACGCTTGCTATCGTCTCCGTACCGGACCCCGCGCGGCTCGGCCCTCTGGAATACGAAATAAGAAATACAAATAGGCATTATAGATAGTGGGCGGCTTCACGCATACAAAGATACTTATAAAAAGTTAGCTTTTTTATAAAGTTTGGTTTCAATTTTTATTATTCACAAACTAATCTTACAAACAGTCAAGCACATGTGTAGCTTTTTCTAAGACGATAAGAAGCTATTGAATTTTACGTATTATGTACATATGTATATGTACATAAAAAGAATAAAGAGGTGTAATGTTATAGAAATCCTTTATATATTTTTTAATTTAGTTTTAGACCTAGCCTTTTTTTATTTCTTGCAGATTTTTTTTCCATCATCATAACTTTTTTCCTTCTAATAAGTACTCACCTTTTTAAGTTCTTCTTAAGTTTTTTATATTTCGCCTTCTTTTCATCATACAGAGTTTCCGGGGTGGGCGCCCTCTTCACAGCTAAAAAGTTTATATTATCAATTACCTCAAAATAAATATTATAGAATATAACAAAATATACAAATAATTACATACTTAGAAATCTTTGTCTACGGAGGTTATGGATTCGACTCTCGCGCAGGAATATTCTTATTTACCATACAGAAGTTTTTTTTTTGGTTTGGCTGGGACAATGCGCTAGGTTGAATGGACACATAAAGACAAGTAAAATAACATACCACTTTATGTGCCTCACAAGAGAGTATATAAATAAAACAATATAATATGGTCCTAATACACAATATAATTTATCTTTAATTGTATTTTTTATGAACCATTTTCTTGTGCAAAAAAATGTTAATAAATAAATAATATATTTGTAACACATACTCAAACAAACCAACTTTTAGACCATCTTAAATTTTCATTGCTTTTCTATTATTTATTCGCAAATTGGGCATTAATAATATTATTAGTCATGACATATACTTTAGTGAGTTAGCAAGATGAGGTTCGGACATGACAGTGATATGACCCGAGCCCATCGTCTCGCAACCTTCCTGCTGGTTCAAAGGCTAAATTCGGCAGCGCACTAAACGCGAACAAAATAATATATGGCGTGAAGGTGAAGACTGCAGACAGGCGATTCCAACCATTGATGCCAAAATGACGAACCGTCTTATCAAACTCAACAGACCTCAACTTAGATAACCGCGGCCTTAACTGGCCACGGAAATATATAACAAACATCTATTTAATATAGGTATAACTGACAGCCCCCTTTGCAGGGCATCCATGGGGGCAGATGAAACGGCTGCACATGAATCTTGTATGGTCCAGGTGTAGCGGCGTACCGGGCTCAACATGTTGGCACACCTAGTACACTCCCGAGAATCTTCGGTAAGACGAAGAGGCTGCTGAACTTCCTGAAGTAGCTGGGATGGCAAGAGTAACACGAAAAATAAATTCTCACACACGCAAAATAGCCGCATAGTCGTCGAGTTGCGGAAACTAGCCCGAACATACCATACCATTGAGTTTGGTGAAAATTCAACCCATGAGCTATTCTGTTTCTAAAACACTTTAAAGGACCTAGAAATAAAGAGTTTCCACTACAGCTTTAAACTTATTAATAGAGTTCCGACTAGACTCTTAAGGCACGAGACTTAACTTAACGAGGGCACTAAAATTAAACGTGTCATACATACATACACAAAACAAACATATAACTCACGAGGCGTGATGGGCTTGGGTGTGATGGGCTTGTGCGCGAGCGGCGGCGAGCTGGGCTCGTCGTCCACCAGGATCACGTCCTGCGAGTCCGACTCGTAGCCGCCCCATGCTGGAATATTTATATTAAATTCAAACTATAGGAAAAAAAACGTGTGTGTGTACTTATGTACGCACGTAAGAAGTTATACTTTTTTGGCGTAACAGAACAATAATAGCTAAAGATTTCATCCCGTATGTCACAACTCTGTTTGTAGAAGGAATGCAGCTAACTTCATCATGTCGCTTTTTGGCTGTTGGTGATTGTTAAAATTTTACTCTCATAATTTTTTCCAAACATGCCAAAAGAAGTATAACTTCAAAAAACATATTATTTGCAACATCGTGATAATTTTATTTTTTACTAATATCAGTTTATTGTTGTGCTCATTTAATAAATATTGATTCCAATGTAGCAAATAATATTATTTAAAAATTCTTGCAAAATCCGTTTTAGTGTTTCCATGTCTTTGAGGTAAGACGCTATAAGGCTATAGAAAAAGTTAAGAACGTGAATTGTAGTTTATATTGCACAAGTATTTTATTCTCCTTACATATTCATAATTTCACAGCAACAACTCTTTTTAAGAAAATTATAATAGATCTCATATTTATAAATACTTTACTATTATTTTATAGAATATTTTATTGGTTAAATAATAAATGAGTGCTAAAGCATAATTCAAAGTGCATGAATGCATGAAGACATTACCTGGCCTCGACGGAGGCCGGGGGCTCGGTACCGCGGGGCTCACCACGTGCTGGAATCATATATATTTCATTATACTAGCGACTTACCCTCGGTACATCCTTAGATACCTAACAGTGCCATATAATATGTTACTACAGGTTGATTTGTGTACTAAACTTCATCAAAATCTGTCCAGCCTCGACTTGTCCAGTTACGACGTGAAAAGTGACAAACAAACATACATACAAACTTAAGCTTTTTTCAATTACACTGTATTATCAATATTAATTTTTTTACTAACACATTATCAATTTTAGACGGTTCTTTTAGTTTTTACATTTTTAACTCATACAAACGAATGTTTTGGTATAATTGTTAGAATATAACCCCAAATATCTTCTCTGGCGGTGAACTGTTTTTTAATTACGTCTATGGATTTAAACACAGTATTCCCATTTAGTTCTAGTAGATTTGTGACATCTACTCTATCATAACAAACTAAAAAAATGATGTGTATGCAAACAGACAACATTTAGCCATTACTTTCATTGTAGATAAACATCTCAAATACTCGTTAATTACATACAAACATGTATATCTATACATATAATAAAATTGTAACTAAGCCGAATCTGTACATTAAATATTTTTTGATACATTTTACTGAAATAAAAAATATTATGGATACAGAGGCCCAATCTATAGTTTTTAGAATTTTTGTCTGTCTGTTATCGCATTACAGAAAAACCACTGAAGGGATTTTAATGAAATTTTGTATGGTAATAGCTGGTTATGCGGGTCAACATATAGGATACTTTTTTCCGCAGAAAAAAGCCTCATTTCTGAGAAAAAATACAAAAACTGCAATGTAAAGAGTATACTAATATGTAAAACCTAAGAATTTGGTTTTTGGTCATCTGAACGCGGGCGGAGCCGCGGGCAATGTTAGTTTATTAATATATAATATCATAAAATGACCTTATAAATATTGAATGTATCTGAATCAGCTTTATTCTAATGCTTGTATAATATCTATTCTAGTACTGACCCTTGTGAGTGCAGGGGAGGTGAGGGGAGTACCGCCCAGTCGTCGCACTGCTCTCTCTGCTGAAGACCGGTTAGATCCTGATGAAAAAACTTTGTTTAGTTAACATTCACTACATTAAATAAACGTAAAAAAAAAACAGATTATTCCAATTAAGCTAGATAATCTAAGCAGAAACATTTTTGTAAAAGTGTAGGGGCCCCGAGTTTGCTAAGGATTTTCACTTATAATATAAGTTTTTCTTTAATTTTCTTCCTTCGGCTTTGTGCCATTTTTTGTTTTGCCATATTTTCACTAAAAACGAAAACAATTCTATTCCACAGGAACCATACATTTTTTCAGGATAAGAAAGTAGCCTATGTGTGAGCTATGTTATTGTAATGTTTCATTAAAATCCATTCAATAGTTTTTGTGTGAAAGAGTAACAAACATCCAGACATCCATCCTTACATCCTCATAAACTTTCGCATTTATAATATTAGTAAAAATTTATATTCACATATAAAATCGAATTTAGAACACCTTGAAATTTCTATTGTGTGGGATCTATGAATATTATATAGAAGGGCCATATGCCCTATATGGTAATAGTGTTGACGATTAAATTGCATAACTCAACAATAGTAACACTCAAAAAAATGTATAATTTTGTTAACAATCATGAATAAAACTACAAATAATATAAGTAGTGTTCAAAAATTAAGCAAAAAAGAATATTTTATATGTATTATTAATTTAAAAAAATCAGGTGTGTTGGGGCGAGTCCCTTTTAGTGTTAAAGATTGGTGTGAAAATAAAATTGGCTTTGTTCTAATAGTTTTAATACTATACTGACACTGAAAGGTAGTGCATATAAAATTCTTTCTTAAATAGGAAAGAATATCTTATATACATATATAATTGTTCAGACAATAACAACGGTTACTATGGCAACCTAATGTAACCTTTTTCGTACGCAACCTATTTCGTTAGTCCACTTTTCTGACCTGGTACCATAGAGATAATAGACATAGAGTAGGCAAGCCGATCAAAAGTATGATATCGCGATAGAAAGAGACAAAGAATAACAGACCACTCTTTTTATTTTTAATTCTTTTTTTATATAATTTTTAATGAATTAGAATGTACTATAATAATACATAAAAGATTTAAGTTATATTAAACATATACAGAAGAAATAAATGTTAATTTCATAAACTATGTTTTTTATTTATTACAAAAATAAGTTATTTTGAAATTTATTACTATAAAAAATTCATTCTTCGTTACATATCGTGCATTTCTTTCAATTTGAGGTTTGCGCCATATAAAGTCTATTAATGCGCATACGTTATGAAACAAAGATAGTTACTAGGCAGATATTTTCTATCTTTTTCTTTCCACGCCTCACCGCCATTTACAGTGCTGAATAACAGTTGCCTACTATGTGTATTATGTCTATGCTTGGTACCCGTCAACGACCACTCAGCCCGATAGACACCTCACGCAGGGCGAACACTTTCAGACAACACGTTAGACAAATACGTCTGACTTGAGAAAACGATCGCGCGATTTCCTTCAGTAGCGACCACATCCGTAACCCGCGAACACATTGTTTGAGACTCGTGAATTTCCGATACCAAAAATACAACAGACGCGCAACATGGCTCCCTGTGCAATAAAATGGTGTGGAAATAGTAGCCAAACATGTTATTTAAAAAAAATGGCATCACTTTTCAAAGGTAAGTGAATTTTGATTTCCAAATTCATTAAATGTAATTAAATCAGAGCTCAAGTTATATTGGTCGCAACGCAACTGGCGTTGATGTATTCGGACATTCTCGGACTATGCGTCCCTTTCTTTTCAATGCAGTTCATTGTTGCTATACTTTTCTTGAATTACCGGCACGTGTAACTAGTGCTGTACCAGTTAAACTATAATTTTTTTAGATATAAGTTATTTAATTATTATAAAATGCATGATTGTTAATCTTAATTATTGTCATTTTTTTTGTTTATAATGATGATTTTACTTCTTATTATTATGTATTATTATCAATTTCTTTTGTATTATGACATTTATCTATAATAATAATAATTATTATTTTTAAATTTTTGTACATTTAATTCATGAATATTTAAATGCTATGTACACTTATAATTGACATGCATATAAGGTATATTATTATTACATTAGTTATATTGAAAATGTTTCAAATGTATGTTGTAAGTGTGCTTTTTACAAATAAATAAATAAATAAAATTGGTACAAGGCTATGTCGCCAGCTCTCGGAATATAAATGTAAAGAATAAACAATTGTAATAAGTACCTAAAAAGTTTTTATTAAGTAGTAAAGTTTTTTTGTATAAATAATAAGTTCATGTAAATAAGTAGTAGTTTAGTTATACAGAGTGTAAGGGACAGTTTTCCAAAACTTTAACCATGGAGATATTTCTGTAAATAAACCTTGAATAAACCTGTGTAAATAATATTAAGTATTCTATTATTATTTCATTATAGTAAAGAAAACTTGTCTTCATTAAAAATATTCTTTAAAACAGAAAATTATTTTACTAAATACGATACCTACCTACGATACGTTATAAAACTTCTGGTTCCTATCACTATTAGCAAGTGACGCAACCTTGAATTAACCAATCAGGGTGCATTTCATCCCGCCTCCCCCATGACGCTTACCTCAGACTTTTGACTGACACATTTGGTTGTAGAAGTACATCAATTAGGCGTCTATCGGGTTAAGTAGTCGTTGGTACGCGTATATTTCAGTGTGATTTAGAAGACGTTTCACGTCAAAAATTTAAAGTTTAAGATATGTTGGAGACATAAACAAATATTATAATACTTTTCATTTAATTACTAAATGAATCTATTCTTGTATAAAGATAGAGTGGTATATATATATATATATATATATATATATATATACATATATATATACATACACACATATATAGTATCAACTATCTGGTATCCATAACACAGACCTGGCAGCTTACCATCCCCCCAACGTGCGTTCACCTTGTCGTGGTGGGGGGGCTCAGTAGTAGTAGCGAAGCTAAGAAACGCACAGGGAGGTTGCCCACTTCGGTGGGCGGTGGGAGGTGGCCCTCTTCGGGGGGCGGTGTACCTTGCGGGTTGCTCCTGGTACTTCTCTGATAGCAGAGTGAACCTTGGAGCAACCCCATGGTTGTGGTGGTCTGCTTTGGCAGACCTGCCGTCGGGGCGTCGTAGTTGAATGCGTAAGCGATCCTGCGACGCCCCCTTAAGACGGGGGAAGGTTTTGTTGGGTTTTAGTGAGTAGTACTGGTTGTATTACGCCGGTGAGTCCCACACGTCGTGCGTAAATGCATTTCCCAACGTTAAAAAAAAAAAAAGAACTAGATGGTGCTGTATGTTAATATCTCAACATATTTATCCCAACATATCTTAGAATAAAGACAAAAAGTGCTTGCTTGCACTTTACATATAAAAACAAATTTAAAATATTATTCGTATTATAATTTATAGCTATGCCTATCTGAAGTATGCTACAAATGGCTGTTAAAAAAAAGCACAGTATAAAAATCCATACCGAGAGTGATCGCCTTTTATCTAAAGAGAAAGCTTTTTTTTTTTTTTTTTTTTTTTTTTTTTAACGTGTGGGAAATGCATTTACGCACGACGTGTGGGACTCACCGGCGTAATACAGCCAGTACTACCCACTAAAACCCAACAAAACCTTCCCCCGTCTTAATGGGGCGTCGCAGGATCGCTTACGCATTCAACTACGACGCCCCGACGGCAGGTCTGCCAAAGCAGACCACCACAACCATGGGGTTGCTCCAAGGTCCACTCTGCTATCAGAGAAGTACCAGGAGCAACCCGCAAGGTACACCGCCCCCCCGAAGAGGGCTACCTCCCACCGCCCACCGAAGTGGGCAACCTCCCTGTGCGTTTCTTAGCTTCGCTACTACTACTGAGCCCCCCCACCACGACAAGGTGAACGCACGTTGGGGGGGATCTAAAGAGAAAGCCTGCTAAATGCAAAGGTTGTCAAAAATAACAAGATTTCCAACATTTATGACTTAACTCAAAGGTTATTACGAACTTGATTTTTTTCACATTTATGTTTTTGATGGAATTATAATTATTATTAACACAGCTATATCTCGTAAGTTTCTTGTGCAGAGTAAACCCGCATCAACCTACTCACCGGTGTGAGCCGGCGACGCCACCGCCGGGATGACGAGGTCGCGCCATCGCTTGACCAGCACCTTGGCGCGTCTCGCCAAAGTGGGGTCTGTGGTCTTACGTCGCAACTCATTCACGTGTTTGCCGAGTCTGGTGGTCTGGAAGGATAACAAATTTTATTACAATTTTCTTTTTTATTTCACTAAAATTTTATTGTTTGTATATACATATTATATTTTAAAAACTTAATAATGACGAAATTCCTGTTTAAATTTTAACTTCTTTAGGAAAAGAATTTTCAAAAGTGATGCTTTCTGTTGCTGTTAATTCTCTTGTGTTGTTTTTTATTACATTATTTTTGTCTCAGAAGAGGTCAAATTTAATTAATGCATATACCCTGACAAAAATCGACTAAGTAAACAAAATTGGTAATTTAAGACCAGGTCATTAGAACATTTAAAGGTTAGATTAGGTATTTAGGGATTTTCGTGGTGGAGGGGCTCATTAGCGTCCGGCAGTCCAGCCGGGCACGAAGCCAAAAAACGTACTGGGAGGCGGCCCACCTCGGTGGGCGGTTTGCAATGCGGGTTGCTCTAGGTACTTCTCTGATAGCAGAGTGGACTGTGAAGTAAACCCATGATTATTGTGGTCTGCTTCGGCAGACCTGCCGTCGGGGCGTCGTAGTTGAGTGCGTAAGCGATCCTGCGAAGCTCCATTATGACGGGGAAAGTTCTGTTGGGTTTTAGTGGGTACCTACTGGCTTCTTTAGCCGTCGAGTCCCTCATAACCACTTGTATGTGTATGTATGAATCGGTTCGGATCATATAGGTGAGCTGTTAAATTCTAATTTTATTTTCTTTGTCGTAGTGTTGTTAAATAAATATATAATTAATTGCATGTAGTGCATAAAATTAAGATGGAACTAGCGTACCTAAATTCAATTACATTCAAATTATTATTTAAAGAAAACTTCCTTTTACCGCTTTAATAATTAAACATTTTTGTATTAGTTTCATCAAGTAAAAATAAATTCAGTTCAGTTCTTTGCTTTAATGGCTTTAAAATTATACAATATTAAAAATTCACTATTTGACAGTCAAAATGCTTGTAATATTAATATTGGGTAAAGTTTTGAAATGCATATCAGACAGTAACTCAGTAATCTCGGTTAATATTTCCTCAATAGAATCTCTCGACTGTACAATTTATGTCTATATTTATAATATGTATGTACTTAAAGTTATGTATGTGTAGTGTACAACTATCAGGTATCCATAACACAAGCCTCGTAGCTTACAATGGAACTAGATGGCGCTGTGTATTAATGTCCCAACATATTTAATTATTTAATTTAAGGGACCAATTTGCTTATGATTTGTAAATAAATATTTTGTGTATTTATTTTAACTATCGTGTCACTATTGATTGTATAGGTAACCAATGTTAAGCCAAAAGAAGGAGTAAACATTAAGTAAATTTAAAATGAACTTGAGAAATAATACATACCTAATACTGATCCCAGAGTGAAGTTGCCAAAAAATATTATTTTTTATAATCGTCTTTAAGGTTGTACCATTGATAGTTTTTGTAGGTATATCAATAGGTTCTATCTAAATATTATCAATTTTCAATATCGACTATCTTACCTCCAACAACTCTTTTGTGATATTGAATTTTTCCAAAATGGATATGATTTCGTTAACAGTCTGCATGTCGACGACCTGGAAAGTAAAAGCGATAAGTTAAATTTATTATTCGCAGTAGCTTATTACATAACTGGATTAAAATTACATATTTTTATTTGAAAATCACAATCGCGCTTTAATATAAAAACCGTATTTCGTAAAATAATCGCCGAATAACAAACACAAAAAAAAACACAAGTGCTAAGAAAAAGTTATCAAAAAGGTTTTCATTCATTTTATAGTTCCGGTAATGTTTAACGATCGACAATCAATTTACTCCAACGCATAAAAAGAAAGAAAAAGTGGCACAATTCCTACTATTGTAGTTCAATTGAAGCTGTAAAAAAAATATAAACTACAGCAAAACCTAAATGAAAAAATGCCTTATTCAATAATTCTTACCATAGAACCACAAACTTGTAAAACTACAATCAAACTGAACCTTACAAAAGAATATCTATTATTAAAAATGAAAAAGGTGTAAAAATTTTTAGCCGAGTTAAATTTATTAAAATAAATGTAGTTGACATGAAGTTTGTTTGGTAAAATGGTAATCAATGTAAAAACGAGACGAGAATAAATATAAGCATTATGTGAATATAGTCCAAGGATGATCAGAGACAGAACCCTCAGCAACAACAATAATTTGTGTATTTTATGAATATATTACATAGCTATACAGATCAATAAAATTTAAGTGTCTGCCTGTAATGTCAAAATAACAGCTTTTTACTAAATGCATATGAAAGTCTAAACGATACTAATAAGAAAAAAACACTCTTTAATTTTTAGTTTGTCTGTTTGTTTCGGCTAATCTTCGAAACAACTGCACCAATTTCGACAGAACTTTTACTGGCAGATAGCTGATGTTATAAGGAGTAATTTTTATTTTAGAAAAAGAATCAGGGTTCCACACAAAAAAATTAAAACCCCAGAGAAGTGAGGGTAAGTCGTTTGTAGTAACTAAAAATGATTTTTTTACTCATACAGATTTAAAAATAGATTTAAAAATATAATCTAGCATTATTATAGATCAGTTGTACTTATTTTTCAACCATGAATGCGGCCAATATACTTTCATTTAATAGATTAAAATGATTTGTAAATGATATATTATGTATAAATGGTTTATTACCTGCTGCTCTATTTACACATTTTGTTTTGTTTATCAATGGTATTATATTTCATTCTTCTCCATTTCAAAAAAAACATAGTAAAAAGACAATTTTCAATGTTCTTTTGATATCCATATTAATATTATAAATGTGAAACTTTGTGCGTATGGATGTTTGCTACTCTTTCATGCCAGAATGGCTGAACGGATCTGGATGAAATTTGACACAGAGATAGATTATAGTCTGGAATAACACATAGGCAACTTTTTATCTCAGAGAAATGTACGGTTCCCGTAAGATAGGTTTGATTTCATTTTGCAACTTCGCTAGTTTATTTATATAAGGATGATAATCACATACATATATTCAAGCAACATGTAGTTTCAACAAAAAACTAAGTATTTTCCATAATTTAAGCATTCTATTATTTTTATTAAATCTTAATTTAGCCTAAAGTTTAGATTCAATTTGCAAATATTTATTATTAATCAAATAAATAAAATTGAATAATAAACAAATTGATATTGAAGTTTATCATCACTAGTGATAACAAGTTAATGATTTTGTCATGTCATTTCATAGACTGACTTTGCACCTTAACATTGTTAAAATGTTGTATATACTTTATATAAGGACATTTTATATACTATTAGGTATTAGATAATGTACCCTCAATTGGCTCGGGTGCATCCTTGTTGCCTAATAGTAGCCTATGTGTTGCTTCATGTCATAGTCAAATCTATTCAGCAATTTAAGTAAGAAGCAGTATCCAATATACATGCACATATAGAAACTATCATATTTATAATAATAGTCTGATTTTACTACTAAAGTACTAGTGGCTCACTCTCACTAGGTATGATGAGTTTCATATGCCTTACTTGAGAAATGGTAGAAGCCCCATAGAAACTTCCACTCCCTTAATGGATGGTTTATTTATCTTATGTCCTTTCCAAGGTCTCAAATTATCTCTATACCAAATTTCATCTATTCAGGTTCAGCAGATTAAGTGTGAAAAGGTAACAGACAGACAGTGTTACTTTTGCATTTATAATATTAGTATGGATTGAAGGTTTCTTTTAAAACATTGAAAGTATAAAATCTACAGGCTTATATAAGGTATAATTGTTCAATTACTAATTAAAAATAAATGCCACATCTAAACAATATATCACATAGTCAAAATATCTGATCCAGTCTTCATTTTTAATTATATATGTATAAGCAAATGTGGACTGTAAGATGACTTATCTAAGGGGTACTTGTTAGTTACCAGATAGTTACTTTAACCTGTCAACGACCGCCGAGCCACAGGTGGCTCGGTTAACAATTAATTTCTTAGAAATTAACCGCAAGGTGGTAAAGGTGGTTCTGTATTTTGCTGTATTGAGGCTATACTGAATAAAATAGCTATAATATTTTAACAATGGGTGTCTCTAACGTTTTTATTCTATATTTGTAATTTATTGGCATAGATGTTTGAAAATATTAGTTGTTGTTTTAATCAAGAGGAAAAAATACTTTGTTTCCGATACACATTTCCAATTACATAACTTATGGTTAATTAGAATATGCATGTTATATTCATGACAATCCTAATTGATAACTCATTTTGAATATAGCATAAATTGATTCAATTTTAGGACTTAACCTTCCATTATTTGGGTGATATACATTTACTATCACAAGAAAGAGTTCTAATATAGAACTTTCTCTCTCATTCAATAATACAAAAATTAGGACAATTTTTTAGGAAATTATATAATGTGTGTGTTTGTTTGATCTTTCACATTAAAACAGAGTGACGGATTGTCATGATTTTTTGTAAGGTGATAGTCAGAGGGCTGGAGTGACATAGGCTACTTTTTTCCATGGGAGATTATCTCATTCCCATGGGAAAACATGTTAAAATAACTCATCATACCATATGTATTCCATATTAATTGTTAAAATGTACCTAAGAATGAACAAGAGTGAAGCAAGGATGAGCCGCTAGTTAATTATATATTTTTAAATTTAACATTTGTAAAAATATTTCTTAGAATTCTTTATTATCTACCTAATAATGAATTGTGAAATTTGAATAATTTAAAAATATTTCTGTTTAACTTTTATCATTTGGCTTAAATATTATATATAGTGATTAAAGATATTCATTTATTGTTATGAAAATAAAACATAAATCAATAAGTAAAATCATAGTTCTAAGCTATGTGTCAAATACACATGGAGCGTACCCCACCATAGAGCACATGGAAGCATCATGAACATTACGAGTAAGATACTCGTTTCTACTACTGTATATTGAGAATGTAAATGTAATATTGAGTTATATAGTAGTAATTATATACTATTACATATACCAGTGCCAATTAATTGTTCTTTATAACATTAAAAGAATTTTTTCTACAGTGTTTCTATATTGTTTATTTGTGAAAAAACTAATAATTTCAAAAAATAATTATCCACTAAAATGGTAAATTAATAGAATTAATAAAGGTAACCAATATATATATATAATACTTAGGTATAATGTACATATAATTAATTCATGCTGGGGTCAATGAACATGTGCCTAGTGTGTTGACCACATTGGAACTGCTTACCATATTATAATGATCTATGAATTTAGGGTATTATATAAACTAGTAACTAACTGACCAGTAAAAATAATACTTTTAATTTTAAATTTTTGAAATTCTAATAAAATTCAATAAAGCAATATATTTTTCATGATAGTCCTGATAACCTTTAAGAAATAAAACAAAAATGTGATATAATAAAACTTCTCTTTTGAATCAAACTACCCATTTATATCACAAGAGACAACTGCTATTTCAACAGCATTGAAAATAGCATACAGATACTAAATTATTGCGAAAACTTGACTGACCTGAAATTGCACCATACACATTTAATAAAGAGGTACACAGATTTCCAAAAATCCCAAGCAATATCGTGATTGGCACCACGCTCCTGCAAGAATATTCCATGCTGCTTCCAACTAATTCTACGCCCGAGCAATGCACAAGCGTACAGATAAAAACACATTTTCACCTTCGAATGAAGTTTAAACGAATCTAAGCACAACCTGACGAAAATCTACGGGAAAGGTCACGCGTGGCACAATTCCGTACTTTCACATTGCAAAACATTTGGCACTAGGGACGAGAGGGACGAGAGGAGCGCTGGCGACGTCAGTGGCCCCGTACATCACTCCCAACGCTCACGTATCCACACACAAACCACATTTACATCACGGATCTCGTATCATACAAGCCCCCGCGGCCGCAGCGAGTCTCTGCACGCCCCGACAATCGTGCAGAGCGCTCGGCAGCTGCGAGACAACCTTCCAAAAGGCCAAATCGCGACTCGAGTCGGGTGTCACAGGCTCGTGCGGACCGTTTCCGTATCTCCAACTTGCTTATCAGACTTATGATCCTCTAAACTCGCTAACTTACATTGTAATTGCTATCCAACGCATTCAGAAGTCGATTACTTAGCTCATGAGCGTTATTACTCATTTATAAACGAAAATATTTAACTAAATACGACGAACGTGTCTCGGCTGCGTCGTAATGGCGGACCGACGACTACGTATGCCCGTGCCAGGGCATTTTAGCCGAATAATTCAGCTGATATCTACTACAGGCGACGCACACTCGTGTTTTTCCGTTTCTTTTGACGGGAAAAACTCTTATTTTACGATTACGGCCAAGAGATGGCGTTTGTAAAATGAGATTATAATTGAATTTATTCCTTCTTAAAGTGTTATATCTATTCTAAAAATAGCAGTTTATACTAAATTTATTATATTTAAACTAAGGTCTAAAGAATTACTTAAAATAAAGAATATTAACGTTTTTATACTTAAGTGGACATATTTTTTTATTTGTGGATGGCAACATTAATTGCACAATTTTTAAATAATCCTCAACAGATGGCGTGATTCCAAAAATAACTATTTAAATATTTCAGAACGAAATTGTGACATTTACCAGTGTTGCTTAGTTCAAAAATAAATTAGACAGTCTCCCGACAGACCTGATATTGTATCTCAAAGATTATACAAATTTACAAAACGAAGATTAAAATGAAGTTTATATTTTTATAAATATAAAGTACAACTAAATAAATTTCATCACTAAATGTTAATGACAAACTGTTACCTTCAAACCATTGTATAATATAGAATCCACCTATTTAGGTCAATGGGAAAGGATTTTGCCTCTTTCTCCCGCCAGATGTCGCGATTACTATAGCCCTCAGTATATTGTAACAATTGTGCACAGAAAATGAATATCATTATTCCCGAAAGACAAAAAATAAAGAAATAGTGGGCTAAAGCAATAAGACGACCGAAATTGGCGAAATCATAATTTTATATTATATTTTAATTTTAATATATTTTATATTTAAGGACTTCATTTTAAAGAAAGTGATTTTAAAACTCTTAAATCATCGACAGGTGAATATTTTGTTTGAAGTGAAAACTTCTATAGGCATTTTTGGATGACGAGTAAATCCATGTAAGTCTTAAAAATAAATAAATAAATAAAGTCCTCATCGACATGGTCACGTGACGTGTTAGCGCTAACACTCAAGAGTGTAGATAGATTTCAAAACCAAATAAATGAAAAACAGTTTTAATTTACAAATTTTAATTTAAGATCCAACAACTAATTTGAATATCCAAAAATAACAACTGTTTGTTTATAGTTTTAAGTTTTTACTTCTGTCGGCAGTCCTCATGAATGCTTTTTTTTTATTTTTGTACTTTTTTACATATTTACAGCGTTTCATACAAACTTTCATCCCCCATTTTACCATCTTATAGGATTGAATTTCAAAAAAATGCTAAAATATATATGTTTATAATTGTATTGAAGAGCATTAATGCCAAGTTTCAAGTAATTCTGATCATAAATAATTCTTTGCCCATATAACTATATTACCCTCTTTTACTCCCTTAACTGATGAATTTCTATCACAATAAATTGCTTAACCTCAGACTAGTGCAAATAGGCCATACGTATGGCACACTCCTTTCGAGAAATCTTCTCCATTCTGTCATCATAGTTCATTTATTTTGTTCTGAATTAAATATATAAGGCTGAAATTATAACAGATAGTTGTAGACACAAAAGAATATGTCTAGGTGGAAAATCTATAATATGCTAGATATGTCTAAAAAATTAATATGTTAACTATATGTTATAGTAAATAAAATAAAATTTTATTTTATATTTGGTTAGGATATCATTAATTTGAAAAAAATGGATATATGTATAATAAAGAATATTATTTAGTATATTAATGTTTGCTTAAAATAAAAAAAGCGATGGATCATGTTTACGGTAGTATGAATATTTTGGTTTGTTTCTGAACGCTACTTGGCTTATTATATTGGAAAAGAAATAAATAATCGAAATGGCAACATCACAGATAAATACGAACGACAGCGAGCCATCTTTCAAAACGTAAAAATGTCACTTTTCATTTTGTAACATAGACCAGAAACATTGTAATTTGAATGGGCTATGGAGTCGTGTGTCGCGTAAAATACGATGGCCTACAATATATAAATACTTTCATTTTGTTATGAAATAAAGCGAATGTATTCATCGTTTTTTAAAGATCAGATTTGGTTGTGCATTACATATATGTGATGTATCATACGATCGAAGTCATTGGGTGTTTATATATGGCGAAAATAATAGTTTATTTGTGTGTTGTGTAGTGAGTGGCAATGGATCGTCGGTGTTCACAGTCGGTCAGGACGCTAGTTTTTGACGATTCGGATTCAGATCCGCCTAAAGGTGGACAGAAGAAGGATTTGTCAGCGTCTGCTGCTCCACCCTCGCTAAACCAAAGCGCGGAAGGTCAGAAATTCAATATTTTGATATATATGTATTGTTGTTATAACGATCGCGGTGTAGTAATTCGCGGTGTTTTCAAGGTTTGTTCAGCTGTCAATATAATTACAATTGCGAAGGTATTAGCGGCCTATTGACCGGAATATTCACTGACTTAGGTCAAGTCTTTAATTGGTTATTTGGAATAAAACATAAAAATCTATTTTTTGCATGTGAATTAAGTGTTATAGTTGCGTTTTTTATTGTGAACTATATTACGATTTTTTAAATATTGAAAGGATAATTCAACATATAAAGGTAATATTTAGGTAAACAAAGAAGATTATTTTTATTACTACCTTCATTACAATTTTTATCATAATAGATATTTGAATTAATTGCAATAAATTGCTTAAAAGTGTCCTTTAATTAAATGTTATCAATTTCTTATTTTCAGATTTTTTGTTGTTGTACATTAAATTATTCTTGGTGATTTGACATGCATAGACTATTGCAAAAAATAAATTTTTGTTAACATAATATAATAATGGGTCACTGGAGTATAATTCCAATTAATATGAAATAAAATATTTCTAAAAGTGTTTTTTCTAAGTTTATTTAAATTATTAGAATGGAAATCTGAGTGAAAAGTTTATTTTAAACAATAAGTGAATGTGGGAACTATAATTTTAGCATACTTATTACTTACACTACTGTTATAATTTTCATTGTTGGCCTACTTTTATAACCATTGGTTGTAAAAATGCTTTATTTATTAAAAAATTTTAGAGTTCCTCGTCAGTGGTTGCATAAAATAATATAAGAATAATAACAATAGCTATCTGCTAACTGTACCTTTATCTGCCTATCTGTATGTTAGCTTTTCACTTGTTAATTGCTGAACAGATTTCAATAGAATTTGCTAAAGATATAGATTACCTCATAAGAAGGGACTACTTTTTATCTGTGCTTATTTAAATTGTGAGTGCAACAACAGGCAATAACTAATCTATACAGATAAATAAAATTAAAGTGTCTTTTTGTGAAGTCAAAATAACAGCTTTTTACTAAATACTTATTATGAAAATATATAATTTGGTACTTATAAGTTTAAAAAAAAACAATTGTTTTGTTTTGTCTGTCTGTTTGTTCCGGCTTATCTCCGAAACGGTTGGACCATGATATTGACAGGACTTTCACTGGCAGATTTTAAAAAGAATTTTTAATTTTGCAAAAAAAATTAAAACCCATCACATTGTGAACATCTGCACACCTAGGAATGCACCCTAAAGAAACAAGGGTAAGTCGCTAGTTTAATATAAATGTAAAAAATGATGATTCAAAACTACTTTTAATGGCCTATTTAAATAAATTGGTATTTAACTCATTATTTTCAAAATTAAAAATAAATTTATTTAAATACTAATCTAATTTATTTAAATATATAAGTATACTATACTATACTTAAATAATATTATGCATAATAAAAACATTGAAACATGACTTTAACCTTATTGCATACACAGTGTTGGCTAAATTTCAACTTTATCTGAATTATGCTTTGGTTTATATATTTAGTTGATATTTTTATTTAGTGTTTTTCATAATATAATAGAAAAGAACTTGTAAGTCAGATCCTTGTCAAAAAAGAGCACTCTCGGCATTGTCATTCTAAAAATCTATCTAATACGAAACTTAATTTCTTTCTGCTTTTTGAACACAAATTGATTTTAATTATATAAGTAACTTACTATATAAGTGTACAGTAATTGTGTAGGCGCAACAGACTTTACGGTGTCCATATAAGCCACAGATAATTGCACCTTTTCACCCTATTGAGTCAACTAAATGTCTTAGTTTTACTACACAATAGGCATTTTAGTTTATGTTTACCTCAATCGATATTAAAGGCCTATATTAATGTATTGAATAAAAGAGCTTACTGTCTAATAATTAAATGTGAAAATGGCATGCATTTATTGTTACGCGTATCATAAATCTGTGTCTATTATTAGGGATGTTACATAGTGCATTATTTATGATATGTAAGTCTTTCATGAGATGGAACTAAAAAGTATCATTCTTTTACTAGTTGTTGGACCTGGTTCAATTTTTAAGTGATTTTTAACTGACTTCCAAAAAGGAGGAGGTACTCCATTCGTCAGAATCTTTTTTTTTAGGTATATTCACCGATTACTCGAAGACACCTGAACCGATTTGGATTTTTTTTTGTTTTAAAGGGTATTTTCCAGGTGGTTCCATTTAAATTTTATCGAAATCCGTCGAGCGGTTTTTTAAAAAATCAACAATAATATTTTTTTTAATAAATTGCTTAGTCTTTATAAATTGTTTAGTAGTTAGTTAATATGTTATTAAAAAACTTTCTTCTTTCCTTACAAATTACCCGCTTATTACGTCTACACTAAGAATGGAAATATAAAAACTTAAAAAAAGAAAACAGACTTCCAGGCACTAAAATGTAAAAATAACTAAACGGGGGCTTTCATTTAGAATAGATACCTAATCAGATATTTTCGAAGTCGGTGCCAGCCGACAATATTTTAAGGTATGAATATGTAATAGGTAAATATGATTGGTAAGAACTCTAATTGTAGTTAAAATATTATGTACATCAATTTGTGATGTATTTTACGTATCGAAATATATTTGCTTTTCATAGGCTGTCAGCGACTTCGAAAATATCTGATTAGGTATCTATTCTTAATGAAAGTTCCCGTTTAGTTACTTTTTACATTTTAGGGCCTGAAGTTAGTTTTTATTTTTTATGAATTAGAATGTTCAGAAACTAACACGTCTTAGATTAGATAATAGCCATAGTCTTTATTCTTCAATAAGCGACTTACGCCCGCTTCACTCGGGTGCCACCCTAGGAACGTTTTTTATTTTCTGTCATCGAAACTCGTAATTCTTTTTAAAAATAAAAGTAGCCTAAGTTACTCCTTATAACATCAGCTATCTGCCAGTGAAAGTCCCGTCAAAATCAATCCAGCCGTATCGGAGATTAGCCGGAATTAGAGAGACAGACAGACACAAAAAAATTAAAAATTGTGTGTTTTTATAACATAAGTATCGTATGTACATTCATACGTATTTAGTAAAAAGCTGAACATATTGACATTACAAACAGACACTTCAATTTTTTTATCTGTATGTATTTAGACAATAAATTGTTCATTTCGACCATTGCCTTACTTTCGATCTCCATAGAGAGTCATGGGGCGCAAAACACTATAGCTAATTTTACATTTGCTTTGTACGCAATATCGTAACATTAATTAGTAAACTTTAATTACCGTACAGCTGCGCTCTCGTTAGGGACTTGATACTTTGGCTTTTGAGGTAATTCGCTAATTTCCCTCGACGTGGTTAGCCATACAGAAATCGCTCTAAATAAGCGTACGGTCGGTAGTATTGCTTTTGTTTGTTTTTAAAATTGCTGTACAAGCCGACCTCAATAAGGCCCGACCCACACTATTGGGTCGATTACGGTACGGTCTCGTATCGATATTGGTCTGGTAAAAAAGTATTGTTATACAAGAAACAATAAATGCATTCAGTGAGAGTCAAATTCCAGTAAATCACACTTCAGCAACGATTCTTGTATAGAAATATTTTAGCAGACCTACGATATATCGGGCCCAGAATGGACTGTCATCGGCGCTATAGTGGTTCGGTTCTTAATCTGTTTCTAATATTTTGTATGTGAGATGTTGATGGTCTAGTAATATTAACGAATTGCACTACTATTTTAGATGTCTTCACGTTGCAACTGCCGGACGAATTTGTATGAAATTTAGTACACAGATAAACTATGACCTGGATTAACATAGGCAAATGTTAGGTACCTAAGGACGCACTCAGCCAAAACGAGGCTAAGTCGCTAGCTGTCTATAAAATGCTGTATTTTTGAGTTCGCACACTAGAAATTATCATACAATCGTTTTTTATACCGTTACATAGCAGATATCTCGTTATTTTCTTCAAAATCGTATAAAATAAAGTTTTAACGAAGTACCGGATGTCGTAATATTGCTCATAATTTAGATAAAAAAATTCTCGCGCTAATGACATACATAAATATGTGTACTATCTTCTGTTGAATTGATGTAAACTTGGTAATTTGTTTTTAATAGATGGTATTACTTACCAATTTTTTATCGTAAGAGACATTAAAAGTGTGGGTACTATACATGCATCTATCTCTAAACATAGTTAAAGCATAGTTGCTATTTTCGTCTGTCTGTTTCTCCGGTAACTTCTTCTAAACCAGGCAACGAATTTTGACACGGTTTTCACTATCATGTAGAGATTTTCTTCCGGTACGTTTATATGTATAAAACATGCATACTACAGTAAAGAAAAGCCGAGAATTTCAAAGATTTTTAATGATGTATAAAATACATTTTTGGGCGCTTACACTGCTAACGCTGGCTAAATCTTACGAGATATATCAAAATTAGCGACTGCTCGCCCTCGCTTCGCTCGGGTTCGTCCCTAGGTTGCCTCCCCATACAAACTTTCATCCCTATTTTCACCCCCATATGGGATGATTTCATGGGCATGCATGATCATGCATGGGCTATTTGAATTAAATTAAATTGATTGTATTGGTATATGTATTAAACCCTTTTTAACATCCCAGTGCTGGTTACTGGCCTCCCTTCAATACGAGTGGGGCTAGTCAGGCCGTAATCCACCACGCTGGCCAAGTGCAGGTTGGCGGACTTCACGTGTTTTTTTAAAACTATGTATATCTATAATATTAATCTATAAATATAATCAAATTCTAAGTCGAATCTGTACATTACAAAGTTTTATTTGAAGAATCTTATTGAAATAGCCATTATTATATTATCGATACAGTGGCCGAATCTATAGTTTTAAGAATTTTTTTGTCTGTCCGGCTGTCTGTGATCGCATCACCGAAAAACCACTGGAGGGAAATTTGTTATGATGATAGCTGGTTATCCCGGGTCAATATATAGAATACTTTTTACTGCGGGAAA